AAACCCAAACCAAAACAAAACAGCGCCCGGGTACATTTGCAGAACGAGCCGATTGCCTTGTCGGGACATTCGTGTCTGTGCGCCACCGCCTCCCCCAGCGTGGGGGGTTTGATTTGATATCACAGCATGACCGTTGCTTTTTGCTGGCAGAATAAACACTTTATTCATGCAGATCTAAGCTTTAGCTGGGGGAAGGCAGCTTTTTTTGAAAAGTCCAGTGTTACCTAAGCAAAGAGGAGAAATTTAAAATCCCCATTTGCGCTGCTGCAACCCCTTAAGAGACTCGAAAAGGCTGTACAAAAGCAGCAGTTCCTCTGTGGAAGCGCCCAGCCTGCCTGCAAGAGAGAAAGTGGCATAGGTGAGGAAAGGGCTGGTACCGGCCTGCAAGGCGATGCCAAGGGTATCTAGAACTAGGCCCACGTACATTAGCTAAGGACAGAAGCGTGGGTTTCTCAGCATAGCTGTGTTTTGAGGTGCACCGCTGAAACACAGGTTGCTGGAAACATCCAGCCTCTGGAACATGCAGGCAGAGCTTGTCCTCAGCAGCACAGAAAGGGTGTGCTCGACAAAAGCCCTGCCATAGCGCCTGCTTTTCCTTCACACTGGCCTAGGAGACCTGTGGTCAAAGGCAGGCTAGGGCCAAGCATTATTCAACCCACCCCATCCCTCTCTTTGAGGACAGAGGGCCCCTGAACTCCACTATTCAGATTCTTACTTTTACTTCTTTACTCAGATTTGTACTCCTGTTAGCAACTAAGCAAATACACCAATCTCTACCGTCCTCCAGGGCAGTTCAAGGGAGCAGGATTTGCCTCAGGGGACTCCAACAGCAATTGCTGGACAAATGTTTCCCATATCCTCTCCTGCTTGTGAACAATGTGTCTTCATGCCAGTAAGACCAAGGAGCTGCAGCTTTTGTTACATTTATTAAGAGAAGTTGACAGTTATAAACAGACTTACTAAAATAAATTTACTCCTCTAAAAGTGGACATGGTTTTAAAAATAATACTGTGCTCTCCAAAACATGTATGGGGAGGGTTAGCTACTCATGGCTGCAACAGTTGCTTCTGGAAAAGAAGTAAGTCTTTTCTCCATTCTCAGTTATAGCTGTTTGAGAGTGCCTTCAGGAACTTCAGTTTTTCAGTTTGTTAAGGCTTGTTATCCAAATTCCTTACTTTTCTACACCTAGTGACTAAGCAGGTTTTTGTGATACTCTTCACCTAAATAACCTCTCATGGTACAAACTTACATGAACTCGTCTACTCTATTGTTTGTTCTTTGGCTGTTAGTAACTTTCAAAAAGATTATTTTTTCCAGTTGTTTCTCCCCCCCCATCACATCGTTCTCTAACACTCCATGAGCTGTTGAGTCACCTATCTGTAATAATCACCTTAAAGCCTCTACTTTTTGCTTTGTCTTATATGACTGACTTCATCTGCAAAGCATTTTGTGATATTTCCTACGAAAAACATTGGATAAAAGGAGATGTTTCACTGGCAGGCAATGACAATGCAGAGAAAGTAAAGCAACTGCAAACTTTCTGCCCTGTGCATCGCTCGTTCTGATTTCTGTACGTCAGGAGACAAGTTCAGAGCTTGTAAAAAGGTATTGCAAGAAACTATCTTTCAGCAATAGTGAGACAGTGACAGAAACTATTCAGAGTAAGGAATTTCAAATCAAGTGGCAAGACTTTAACTGGGTATTTATTTACAAGGCAGGGCAGATGGTTTCCCCTGTTTTCTACTGTTCCCGTTTGTTAGAGTCATTCCTCCAAACCATCGTGCAAATTAAAAGACGACTGGGAGCTCTGGTACGTGCTATAAAAGCTGTGTGACTCCATTACACTTATGTTGAACATAATGTAGAATCAGAGTGAAGCAAAAGAAAAAAAAGGAGTTGGAGAGTAGGCAGAAAGGAAGAAGGAAGGAAAGCTGTATCCTAGGTTATTTCTTAGGGAGATAAGAAGAGAGTAAACTTATCACATGGAATGATGCTGCTAGGCCATCCCAGATGGCAGGAATGTGCAAGAGGATTTACTGAGATGAAGGAAGAAAGTCTCTTGGGAGTGTTACAGATTCCAGGTGGTTTTTTTTTCTCCCATGTTTAGACCCAGTGTGAGATGGGACACAATCACTGAGAGAGGCAATGGCAGTCTCAAAACAACAGATTGTGGGCTTCTAAGTCAGTCTAGGACGTCCTGGCAGCGACAGATTGTGGCCTAAAAAAAATCCCGGGCTTCTAAGTCAGTCTAGGACGTCCTGGCAGCTTTCATGGGACATTAAAAAAAAAAAAAAAAAGAAAAAGAAAAAAAGAAGAAAGAAAAGAAAAAGAAAAGCAACAGCAAAATCCAGGATTCTGGAACTTGGGTTACCCCAAAGCATCCAGAACTGCTGTAAGTAGCATCAGTCACGTTTCAAAAGGCAGCAAACTTGCACTCATCTCCTGTTTCTACCTTAATCTAAATTCACAAGCATTAGCCTGCAAAATTACTTAAATTTCCTCACAACAGGAGGGATTCTCATCAGCACGTAAGCACAGGCAGCCACCATTAGCCAGGTTATCAGCCACCCAGAACAAATGCGCTGAGCAAGACTGCAGCATCTGAGAAATTGTCTATTGCAATCACATAGCAGTTCAAAAGTTTTTTTTTCCAAAAGTCTCCTGATGACTGGTATCCTGAGTATGCCGCATGGTCTGTCGGCAGTAAACCTTCACAGACAAAGTCCTGGCAAGTCCAAGATACCAGAATAAATTTAGTCTCAGGCACTGGTACCAACTCTGGAGCTGTCTGACTAGTCTACCACACATAGGGAGGAATTGTTAGGAACAAACAATTATCTGTCTTTTTACACATGTAAAAATAAATCCAATTCAACTTCCAAACTAAGAGTGAGGAGTAGCATCCCTACATGATGTCTTTTCCTGCTGTTTTAAAGCCTCCTTAAATGGTGCCAATATATTTTTCCTTGTTTCCTATCCCATCTGATAGGGAACTCTTCCCATGGGGGGGAGGGAAATCAAAACAAAACACCCCTCCCCACCCCACCACTTATTTTGGGTGCCCGAGGGTGAACATTTTCAGATTACCTGTTGCAAGGCTTCCAGTCCTCGTTTCCCTCAGAAGAACAAAGGCCATCGCTTCCCCCTTCTCCTTCCACCCGGTGGCAGAAACATGCTGGCCCTCACCAGCTGTCCTGCTAACCCACACTGCCAACGCCTGTGATGCAACCACCTGAGCTGTGAGACCTGTCCCCATTACATTTAGTAAATAACTTCCACGACACTTTTAACCTCAACATTTTGAAGTGTACTTACATATAGTCTTACATGATCGGGCAGGCTACTGAGCTAAGAACATTGAAATTTGCACTCCCTGAAGCTTAGTGGGGAAATGCCAGGAGCCCGGGGGGAAATGATGCGTTTGCCTATTTTACATAATGATTTGCATAATTAGAAATAAAATAAGCTCATGGTATTATAGCTGCTTGCATTTCTATCAGTCTGATAGATTACTCTAAGTTGCATCTTGTCTTAGCTCACCAAAGAAATCTAGTTTTTCTGTAATGAGGCAGGAGAGCCTGGTATTTCACAGGCAGGGAGTGGGGAAGGCAAGACCCTGCCCCCCACCATGGAGCCTTAATTTGAAATTAGATTGAAGACATAAGAAACTGATTGAAAAGAGCATATGGGGAGGGCACAGGTGACAAAAGGAAGGGGATACTGCTGGAGGGGATGTGGTTTCCCACAGTGAGAGAGGTAAAAGCTGGTTGCATCATGGATTTGTAAGATAATTATTAGCTTATGAAGTAGTATCCCAAAGGATACAGGGAAGCTCCACATTTGTGATCAAATTGGAGAAAACATTAGGAAACATTCACAAAGATGGGCTATCAGGCTGAAGATTGCTTTAATCTCCCAGATCCATGAGTAAGAAAACAAAACCTGAAGTTGATCTGCTCATCCCCACTCAGCAGTTCAGTGAGGACATCAGTGACATTTTAACCCTTGCGTGACACTTTGAATTCCCCTGTTTTTGCAGAGGCCCTTTGATATAAAATGCAGACGATCCCTCCCTATGCCACTTTCTTAAGCAAGGTGCTTTTTTAACAACACAAATTCTCTGCTGGCAGCAGTATTATCAGCCAGGTCCTGTCATCATTCTGTGTGGGTGCAGTAATATTGCAGTATGAAGAAGGGAAGCTTCCAGAGGCAGTGGGAAAAGATGACATTTGCATCTGTTGTTCTCTTTCCACCAGTGGGGAAGATCCTGCTCTGAGAATCTGGATATAGCATAGGCACATGCAAACTTACTTTCTGGTCCTTTAAACCTTAAAAGGTGCTTCTGTCCTGGCATGGTGCTTGGACGCTTCCCAGACTGCTGTAGCTGATTTTGGCCGATTCCCTATACACTGGGATATGTGAGATAGCAGCCTGGGCAGCACCTGGAGCAGAACTGCTTGGGATGGAGCTGCCCCAGGCTTCCTGGCCTGGCCACCTTCTCTCAGATGCTGCAGGAGTCCCAGCCTCATGGGTGTTTCAGTTTATCCTGAGCTTCTCCCAATGTCTGTAAAAATGACTCACAGGTCTGCAAAGGTCTCTAGCAGAGTTACTCCTTGCTTTATAACCCTAGAAGTATTACAGATGCAAACAAAAACCCCCATACCCTTCCCTGTTTGCTCTCACCACCATGGAATGTTTTTCAGGAATTTGGCTAGTGTCTTTTTGTGGTTCAAGCTCCCCTTCCCAGAAGTATATTCTTCCAGACCTCTCTTCCACACCATGGATCCTTGACCTAGTATGGACTCTGTATAGTCATCCCTTTTCCTCCAAAACCCAGTGATCGTGTTCCTTTTGTGTGATTCCCCCTTCTGTAAATCCCCCTTCGGTTTCTGAGTCTAGTCAAGTGCTAAAATCTGATTTCTAGGTGCTTCCTGAAGGAACTGCACCATTACAAAGCCCAGCTGTCTGCAGACAAGCTAGAGAAAACTAGTTCTTCCTTCAGCCAGCCAATTCTATACAGCTGTCCCATTTGTGTAGCTGCCATTAAGGTGACTTCAATCTCTTATCCGGGAGCATTTCTGCATGCAGCTCTAGCAACATTAAGGCTGACTGAGGTAAGTAACAATTTAATGAAAACCAGCCAAGTTTCTCAAGTTTGTGCATAAATTTCCCATCTCGTTGCAGATGGTGCCACAATATTTGTGAACACTAAATTATGTTTTGCTTCCAGCACCAGGGTTGGTGTGGACATAGTGACTGGTTGCTCTGATTGCTCTCCTGTTGATACCCTTGGACTGTGAGGGATGCAATGGTCAAATGCATTGTGCTATGTCTTTTGTCATTTATTCCCAAACTTGTTTTAATTTTGCCTTTCTATAGACTCATCTATATGAGTTTGTCTCTTAAATCCTCTTTAATGCACAGACTGGAGGCTTGCACTTGTCCTGTTTGAGTTAATGGGTAAGGTTTCACTTGTTTCAATGGAAACAGAGCAGGATGCTCATCAAAACCTCAAACTCTGTTTATGTAGGAAGAAGGACCGGATTTAGCCCAAAATAAGAGATGGGAAAGACCCATTATATCGTTAGCCCCTGCTATTACATATGCTAGTGGTATAATTAGTCTAATTTTAAATGCCTTGAATAATGGGACTATTGCCATCTCTCTTGGGACATGGTTCTGTCATCTAACAATCATATTGGCAGGAAGCCACTGCCTGATGT